CTACCATCGTTGCGTCTCTGATCTTCTTGATGACTTTTATAAATATCATTGTTTCCGATCGAATGAATCTATTGTCCAGTACGAAACGAAGAACGTTGTATTTTTAAATCCATTACGGAGAGAGCGTTTCTGCAAATATCACTCGGTTTAATAAAACGAATTTATCACTTTATTGGCGTGATACGAAGAATCGTACATTTGGGCATTTTTAATTAATTTTGACCCGCAAGTTTTCGTGTCGAAAAACGTGCAGTTTTCGCATTTTCACGCATACAGAGAACGCGGAGAAAGAAAGTTGGTAAAATTGAATTAATTCGTTACGTAAAGAATAGAGGTAAAAAATATTATCAGACACGTAACGAGGTATTAACAGTTCTGTACTCCATTGTCATTTTCTTTTCATACAAATTTCCAAGCCTAAGTGTAGAAATTGTTGGATTTTTCTTGTGTTTTTCTATCGGCTTGTATAGAACATTGTCAGAGAACTTAATTTTCATAATTCTCTCTGAAAGATCGAATTCCAAATCCTCTTATGAGGCACGTACTCAAGCACATAAAATTTTCATATCTTCGTAAATATATGAGAACTGCCTTAACAAACACACGTTTGGTAGAATATTCGAAGGCTTGAAGTATCGAAACATTCGACGGGAAATTTTACAATCTTTCTACGTAGAAAGGCCTGCCTTGAAGATATAATTTTTTCTTTCTTCTCGCGCAAACTTCTGGAATTTCCTGGAACGTAGATGCGCCAAGAAAGGAACGGAGAACATGAAAACTTCACAATTCATCCGCCGTTTCTTTCCATATATGAATTCCCAAGACGACTCCTCGTAGCCGGGCGTACAGGCGTAGCGACGGCTGAAAACCCGCGGTGACGAAGGAAATTAATAAACCATTCGGTGATCGACGATCGTTCGCGGCTGGATACCGTGACTAAATCCGCGGCATAAGAACACCGTCTGGTGGTGATGGGCGCGATATCTTTTTCCTATATCCTTTTCCCAGGAGGGAGCGGCGTAACCAGGGGAAGCAAAAGCGGGGCGGGGAGGGGGTGGAAGAAGAAGGGTGAAGGATTTCGCTGGGCTAGACGCGTCGGATCACGTCGTGAGACGGGTTAAATTGACGGGATAACGGGCGATCGTGTCTGAAAGCTTAAAGTCTGCCACGAAAGTGATTACCGGCTTGCTCTTGCTCCTGGGAGAGGGGGAGGGGGGG